ACCATTGGATACATTTGAGAACATGGTTCCAACATGGGGATGAAAATAATTATTGCCAGCACTTTTTTTCTTCTTTTTTTTTTTTTTTTTTTTTTTTTTTAAAGCAGACAAGAAGAGATAAAATGAGAGAATGAAGGATGTGTAGATGGAAGAATTTTGCTTGATAGCATGGCTATAACATTCGGTCACAGACTGGTCATAATCAAAGATCATGATTATTCTGTCACAGACTGCTCATAGACCACACTGTCAAATAGGAAATAAATGATTCCTTCTGGCTAACTACAGAAAACAGAGTTTCAGAGTTTTCCAGTGTGCAAGTAGTAGACACACAGCATCAGGAAAATGCATGTCAACATGTTGATAATAATCTTATTGAATCAGGGTAGGAATGCTTGTTTTTATTATTTTTAATTAAATGTGGTGAATATTCTTGTTGTTTTACCAGAGATAAAATTATTTTCATTCTTCACTAGGAAGTGGCTATGTTCTTTCTCTTCCCTTTGCTGAGCTTCATGAGGTTCCTTTTGGCTCATTTCTCCAGCCTGTCAAGGTCCCTCTGGATAGCAGCGCAACCATCAATGGATCAGCCATTCCTCCTAGTTATGTAACATTTGAAAAACTGCAAAAAGGATGAAAAATAAACAGTAAGCAGTAACAATATAGTGAGGTTTTCAAGTGAGAAGACTCTACAGTTTTTAGTCAGTAGGTATCTGCCTGAGAAATGACCTTTATGTTTTAAAAGAGCTGCATGTGAAAGAAATGCTACACAAACAAAACGAGCAATACCAAAGTCATCAGGTTCCAAACTATCAGATGGGTCCCCTTCGGCTAACACCAGAGTGAAATGTATCTTGACTGCTAGCACATAGGCCTTACGTAGTGATTTAAGTAATTAAGGAACCATATGGTTACGTGTCTGTAGCTGTAGGCATAGCCTGAGGGGTTTTAAAAGCTCTAAAAAATACTAGCCTTCTAGAATGCCAGACATAAGATACAGGATAAATGACGAGACAGAAGAAAAAAAGACAAGTACACTGAGGAATATGTCTTCCTGAGGAACTTGATGATTGAACGAAACATTTTCTATCAGGTGTTGCAAAATTTTGTATTTATAGTTGCAGAATAGAGAAAAATTTGAAATAAATCTGAAACAATAAAAAATCTGACTGATAGGGTTATTTGGGAAGTGATTTTTAAACTTAATTGTGTGGTTTGCAGTTACCAGCTGTGCTATGCTGGCAAATGTTGTGCTATACTATAGGACAGAAAATAATCACTATATAAGAAGCAAAAAAATTATTATATGAGAGACATTCTTAATAAATTAAAAGACTGATGCAGTCAGTTGAATATACTTCTAACTTTTAAAAATACAATGAATTCTGCTTTATCTTCCACTCTCTCCATCTCCGTATCAGTCCTCAGTTTAACAAGTATATTATGCATCATCTTCAAAAGGAATGAAATAGAAGTGATCAATTAATTGCATTATTAGCAAGAATTTATTCATATTAAAAGTCATGTACAATAAAAAGTGTTAGAGGTCTGTACATCTCTGGCAGATTTAGTGGAAATCAGATCTGTGAAGCCCTAAGTCTCAGGCACTGATATAGCAGTATGCCAGAAAAAAAAGTAAAAAGTCTATCTTTATGCTGCTTGTGCTTCATGTCTGCAAGCACTAGGAGTTTGCTTCATCTGATAAGTAGTTTACGAAACTGTGAGATATGAACATCCTTTCTTCTTCTAGCAGAGATTGTCTCTGCTAGACAATCTCCACTACTTATCTTTTTGTACATGAGCACTGCATGAATGTGAATATGAATCAAGCCACTTAACCCTCTTGTCAGAGCTGGAGCAGTATGCTCAGCAATAATTGGTTCTGCCCTAAAATCAAAAGCTCTCAACAGATCTCCACAATTCAAACTCACTAATTTGTCTTGATATCCAGCCGAATGAGCACCAATAATAAATTCTAAGAGGAGTTTGGAGAGTTAGGCTAGTGCTGCAAGACTGAATGCAGAATGGGGAAATTGCTATTTGAAGTTTTTATTACTCTGGGTTCTGACTGTGCAACAGTCACTGTAAATTTGTATAGACCTTGAAATTAGAAACCAGAGCTAACATAGTGTTTAACTAGTTGCTGTCATTTACAGTCTATCTCTTCAATATCCTTTTTTAGAAAACATTATGTAGTAATGCAGTGACGGATCAAAATCATGGCCTCTATTTCCAATGGATTTTTTCTGACAATTATCAGGATACTTCCTTGGAGGAAGGTGCAGGAGCTGTGTAGTAAATAAAAAAGGTCCCTAAGAAGATCTTTTCCTAATCCTAGGTGGTATGACCTTGCTTTAAGTTGTGAAACCTGTCAATTTAGATTTTATAAAGAGCTTTAGCATTAGTTATATAAATACTAGGAAGATGAAATTCCACTTTGGGTCTTTCTAAATACTTAGCATAGCCTAAATCATTTGGTGATGAGAACACAGTGATTTCATTTACTGTTTTGAAATGGGACGTTTGCAAATTTCATTGAACATCTTGAAGTTTAATAGTGTTTCCTCATTGATACAGGATAAAAGAGGGAAAACTTATTATACCTTCCCCAGCTTACCTTTCTTTTATATACTTTTATTATGCTTCTTTCTCTTTAATACCTTATTCAGAAAAGAGTTGTCTCGCCAGTCTCTCTCTTCAGTCTTAACTGATGAGTTTTTCTTTGTCCTTAATTTCTTATTATTTTCTTTGAACTCTTTCTAATTGCACAATATTCTTTTAAAATGATTTTACAAGTATTGCCTTTCACATTTTGCCAATAAGTATCACTACCTGTTTATATACTTACTTTTTAATATTAATCATTAGATCCTATTGATTGCCTATTGTCTTTATATCTTACTGATTACAGATGTGCATTAAGCATTAGTCTTTTGATAGGTCCTTTTTCTTAAGTATGCTGTGAATGTTATGGTAAGACCTTAGGCTGTAGATCAGTCATTTTTATTTGGATGGTCATTTGTGCTGCAAATACTTTTATAGATTTTGAACCTGCATCTTGTTTCCTGTTCCATCCAACTTGGTGCAAAGTCCATTATCTTTTCTTCTGAATTTGATCAACATGTCATACATGGAATTTTCAGTTCCACAGCTCACTTCCCTTCCGAAAGGGGAATACATTAAAACAGCAAAGGATGTAATGCAGAGTAGCACCAAGGTACCTTAATATTGACTTTTTTGCATGGTGTCACAGGCTGTTTGTTTTATCTCTTTGTTTTCTGCCTTTTAGTCAGATTTTGATTCATGACAACCTTTTTTCTCCTAACCCATGATTAATATTCCTGAAACTTTTTCTGAAGGTCCTTGTCAAAGATCTTTCAAAGGTTTAAATCCAGATATAGCCTCTAAAACAAAAAAATAGTAGCTATTTTAGTAAGAATTTCTTCCCAATAACTCAAGACTTTCTTACCTGAACTCCTGAGGAACTCCTGGGTACATACATGATAACACATTTTTCCTGGTTACTTAGTGTTTTGGTCAGAAACTGATCAGAGAAATTATCAGTTTCTCTCAGAAACCTAGTAGTTCCTGTGGACTTAGTGGTCCTTTGAGTCATTTGAGCCAGTTATTTTCTTTGGAAACTCCAAGTTTGTGTTTTGTGTTTTTTGTTTTTTAAAGTCTTTGTTTCTGTGTATTTTCTTATTTATCTCTTTATCTTTCTTATCAGGTAACTGAATGATTTTTAATATATTGTCATGTAAGTCATATTGGATGTATAATTTATAATCTCTGGGTTGTTTATAACATAAAAGTTATTATGACTTATATAAATTATGGTAGTTTCACCCTGTTAAAATTAATGTTTTCAGATTAAAATATGGCAGCTATTGTGTTTAACTGAAGTCTTGTAAAACTTTCCAAGTTCCAATTTTTTCAAGCGTTTTTTGTTTTGTTTTTTTTTTTTCCCCTGTTATATTTCTGTGTTGAAAGGTATGGAATTCTGGGGTATTGCTTTTGAATGTGATATCCAGGATACCTGCACTGACTT